TATGTAGCTTTTGTATTTCACGTTCTTGTATAACCTCTTGTGTAACCAGATGTCTAAAATCTATATATAGAACTGTACCGTAGGTGTTTAAACAATAATAGAAATTCTCTTTTACCTTTCTCTTCTACTGCTCTGCCTTCTCTCTGTTCCATATTTTCTACATGGTATCAGATAGGTAACTCGGTTTCTGGGCCATCATGAACGCCTCTTTTTCCTCTTCTCCGATTCTTGAGCAAACAGAGCTCACAAGTTACGCTCATCCCTGCATTTCTTCCTCCCTTAAGTTTGTTATTTCTAACCTCAAGAACTTTGTTCAAAACCCTCTCTCACCCGATAATTATTCCATTTGGCGATCCCAAATCATCAAGATCTGCACTGCAAACGGGGTTTGAATCCTTCTTAGATCTCAAATCTGTCATTCCTGATGAATTCTGCACGAACGCCGACTGTATGTCTAGCTCCAATCCCAAATACATCCAATGGCATCTAACGGATCAGAATCTCGCCGCCGCCCTATGCTCCACCATCACCGCCTCCATTCTTCCATATGTTCTTGATCTTACATCCACCGCAGCCATATGTAATGCTCTTGAAACCCGGTTTCAAGCAACAAACTGCTCAAAAGTCATTCAGCTGAAAAACGAGCTACACCATGTGTCGCTCAAGAACTCTTCCATGACAGAGTATCTCACTACTATCAAAATCTTGGTCGATCGGATCGCGGCGGGGAGGTCCCGAGTTGATACTGAGGACATTATTCTATACATCCTCAACGGTCTTCCACCATCCTACCAATCTTTCAAGACGTCCATTCGAACCATGATCACCCCAATCAGTCTTGATCAACTCTACTCTCTCCTTATAAGTGAAGAAATTCACGTTTCATCCGATGCAGCTCGTGCCATCGCTCCTGAAGACGCATCCACGGCACTCTTCTCTTATCGTGGCCGGGGACGTCGAAGTCGCGGTCATTTGTCCAATTCCAGCGGGCAACGCAGAGATCAGCAGCAACAATCAAATCCCACTACATGTAAGATATGTCTCAAGCGAGGCCACTCGGCATCCAACTGCTGGCACCGGCTAAATTCCAACTACGTCCCAAGAACATCAATATCTACTACCACAGCACTCGCGGCAAATCCCACCGACAACTACAACGACTGGTACTTGGACTCAGGCGCCTCTTCTCACATGACTCGCTCACTGGACAATCTTTCCATCTCCTCCCCGTACACCGGCAACGACGGCATCACTCTTGGCGACGGGAGCTCGGTTAGCATTACAAACTCCGGTAAAGGGTTGCTACCGACTCCCTCTCGTAAGATCAATCTATCTAAAATTCTACATTCTCTGCATCTCAAATATAATCTCTTATCCATCTCTCAACTAACTAAGGACAACGATATTGAAATAATATTTGATTCTTCTGGATTTATTTTCAAGGACCGGACGACGCATCAAATCATTCTTCGAGGACCTTGCCGTAACGGCCTGTACAAAATCGCCTACACAGCAGCCTCCTTTCCCAATAAAGCTTTTCACTCAAGAACTCAGGGCTTCAATCTTTGGCATACCAGACTCGGAAACCCAAATAATAGCACATTGGCTCGTATTGCTTCCCTCTACCCCGAGCTCAAGATTGGTCCGAATACTATGTCTTGCTTACCTTGTAACATGTCTAAGAGTCACAAACTATGTTTTGATCTTTCTAATAACAGATCTAACCGTCCTTTAGCTCTTCTTCATACTGACGTTTGGGGCCCTGCTCCCGCTCAGTCTAACACTGGTTATTTGTATTACGTAATTTTTGTTGATGATTTTTCACGTTTCTCCTGGTTATTTCCCATGCACAACAAATCTGAAGTGTTTAACATTTTTCTTGAATTTAAAAACAATATAGAACTGTTAACATATCATAAAATAAAATGCCTCCGGACCGACGGTGGAGGTGAGTATCTTAACAATAATCTGCTTAGCTTTCTTCGTACTCAGGGCATATCTCACCAAATATCGTGTCCTCACACTCCGGAGCAAAACGGAGTTGCTGAATGAAAGCATCTCCATGTAGTAGAAACTACGCGCACCCTTTTACACCAGGCGTCGGTTCCATACAAGCTCTGGCCGGATGCGGCTCTCACTGCGGTACCTAATAAATCGAATGCCCTCCGCAAATACCGGAAACAAGTCTCCGTTTGAACTTTTTCATCACCAAAAATCTGAGCTCAGTCATCTTCGTACTTTTGGGTGCGAGTGTTTTCCTCACACTCCGACCAAATTCAGACACAAATTTCAACAAACGGCGAAGTCGTGTATATTTCTTGGCTACTCAGATAAATACAAAGGATACAAATGTCTTGATACTGTAACTGATCGCATCATCATGTCTCATCACGTTACGTACAATGAGCTGTCCTATCCATTCTCTCACAATGTGACCACATCAACTCCTTCAACTGCAGACATCTCTCCATCGTTTTTAATTCCAACATCTGTTGCCTCTGCTCCTCAGGTAAATTCGTGTACACCTCACACTCCTCAGGTGGTCTGAATCACTCTGCCGCTCTTAAGCCTGCCTCAACAATCGGAGGTCAGCACATCTCATGCCGCTCCAGCTAATGAACCACTTGTTCCTACGCTCCCGCTCATGACACATCTGATGGTCACGCGCAACAAAACAGGTTCCTTAAAACCTCGCCAATGGTTAAATCTACTTCACACTGACTCGGTTGACACTCCTGCAGATCTAACCAATTTCAAAGATGCATACAAATACACACATTGGAGGTAAGCCATGTGTAACATCCCAGACATCAAAAGTGAAAGAATTCGTCGACAGTCTTGATCAGTCTCCATTCCTGCTCCCTTGCTCGGACCTGAAATTGTTAACCACATATAATGAGCTTCAAAAAGCCCAGTAGGTCACCTAATACCTATAACTGAAATCAAAGCACGGTATGGAAGCAATATGCATGTCAATCAGTCAAATCTATAACAGTTAGTTGCACATGATCAGTGAATCTATGCAGCGGATACAAAAATCAATAATCAATGCATGATCGATATAATCCACAATCATCGGTAAAAGAATCGATAAACAGTAGGAAGAAATCCATAAAGTTCAATAAATCAGTACATATGATAAATCTCGTAAGGATCCAATGAAATCTCGATCAAATCGATAGAGGAAAATCGTCGTCTCGATATTAGTTAAATCAATTAAATCAATATCGAATCAATCAAATCAATCATCTTTGGTCAATATTATCAATCGGTAAGAAATCATATAAAACAATCAAACCAATACATCGTAAGAACGATTGAAATCAAATCAATACAGTAAAACCTATTCCGTATTGATCAATGAATCACATGCAGCAGTTCAATACGATGCATCAATGAAACGATAGTATCAATGAATCAATAGTATCCATGTCCATAGTATCAATAAGTCAATGCAATATCGATATCCATATCAGTATCAATATCAATG